CTTCGGGTTTGTGTCATTGTGCGACTCTTGGGCCTGTCCTGGGGTTCGTCCAGCATGGTGACTTGGAACCCGGATCGTCGTCTTGGGAGCCCCCGAAACTTGGTGACCATCGATCCTAGGCCATCAATCATTTCAGTCTTGGTTTTTTTTGGGTGGGTCTCGCAGCCCTCTTGGATGCCCCTTTCGGACCTTTGGTCCCAAATGAGGGGGGGGCGTCCTGGAGCGCTTGGGGGCATCCAGGGGACCATATTGTGGGCCATCGTGGGCTATCCCTTGGCCCTGTTGCGCAATCTGGGAGGGCATCTTGGGCAGCCCGAGGGCCTCTTGAGGCCATTTTCGGTTTATTATTGGACGCCCCAACGACCCGCGAAACGCCCCGCCCAGGACCAGGGGAGGGGGTGCCCCCCTCTCGCCCCCCAAGGGGGAAGAGGGGGAGGTGGGAGAGGAAACGTTCGGGGCCAGTCGCGCCCTAAGGGCTGGTGGGATTGAAAAGGTGGCATCGTCGATCGTGCGGTTTCCTTGGTTCAGCATTGGCCATGGAACCGAACGCTGTTACGTCGCTTGGCACGCCGCGCGATTGGCGCACCGGTGCTCCATGATGTTCCCGCCGGAAGCCCCGTGCGAAAGGTTCGGCTCTCTTCTTCGGCTGCATTGGGAACCCCGGCGGAACTTGACCCCTGTTGACATCGCCGACATCGCGCTGCTTTCGGAGGCGGGCGTTCGCTGCGCTGGTTCCAAGCGGGACGAGATCATTGTTGAACAAGTCGCTCACTTGCTGCGAGAAGTTTCCGTGGCGAGTCGGTGCAGTACCACCAGGCGAGCACCCATCCGAGCACCCTTGGCCATCCAAGACGAGGAACAGCGCCTGACCGAGTCGGGCCGTTTCGCCGGTCAGGGCGATTCCGTGGCGCCCCCGCTGGATGTTCTCGGGCTCCCGGCAGGCGGCGGGGACGTAGGCCGCCGCGTTTTTTTGCGGGGGCGGCGTGGACTCGGCACCCCCGCCGAGTTACCCAGCACAGTTGCCCGCCATGTGAGGCGCAATTGCGCGAACGGGACGAGGGCCCCCCTGCCGGTGGACGTCAGGACGCTGCATGCCTCGCAGCGCGGCGCTGCGAGCACCACGTTACGAGCCCAGACGAAGGCTTTCTGGGAGTCCGAGGCCGGCGCGGCGTGGCGCCAGGAGCGTGCTGAATTGTTCCAGGGCGGCGAGCTCACCGTCGCGCCGTCGTCGTGGTCACATTTCCCTCCGGGACAAGAAATAACGCCCCCTTTTATCACGCCGCTTCACCCCTCCACGACGGGCGGTCGTCATCCCGCCCGCTCTATACTCCGCCTACCCGCCCCCCCGCCCCTGCTGCGCCTTGTCCTCCTGCCCCCCGCCCTCTCTGACGCCTCCCCCCCTTCTCGTCGCCTTCGCCCCCTTCTCGTCGCCTTCGCCTTCCTGCCTGCGGCGGGCGCAAGCAGGGTTGCCACGACGGCCAGACGCCCCAGGGAATCCGCGAAGCACCGCGCACCCCGCGCACCCCGACCAGGCCGCGCAAAGGCAATATCCGCCCCGTTGCTTTCGGGAACGGACCAGGGGTGACAAACCGCCGCGTCATATGGAATCGGTTCAAATTCCCGGGGCCATTTCTGAGCCGATCTTGAGGGGGGCTGACCATCGATTCTGTCGCCGCTTTCGGTCTCTGTTTTTTTTTGTCTCGCCCCGGGGCCCTCGGAAACGGAGCCGGGTGAGAAATGTTGTCCGCTGGACTTGGTGGGGGGTCCGACTTCAGCTGATTTTTGTTAGGGGACGAGGGGGCGTTGCACTCCGCGATTGCATCCGTGAGCGACTTTCCGCGTTTTCGTATATCTGGCACAGGGTGCGTCGTGCCGCTGCTTGCTCCCCACCCCCCTCCTTTTCCTTCGGAGTGCTCGCCGGAGGGCCCTACGCGAAAAAGTCGCCCTGGCGGCCGCGGCCCCGTGAAACCCGAGCGCCAAGGGGCCGGGCAGCGGCGAGCTCGCCTCCGACGGGGGCGGCCGGGATCCGCCATCAAAGATCTTAGGGGGCACTTGGGCACTATGGGAACCAATGGAGCACTGCCGCGTCCCTCTTTCCCTTCGGGGTGCTCGCAGGAGGGCCCTGGACGAAAAGTCCGCCCAGGCGGCCGCGGCCCCGTGAGACCCGAGCGCCAAGGGGCCAGGCAGCGGCGAGCTCGCCGCCGACGGGGGCGGCCGGGATCCGCCATGAAAGATCCCAGGGGCACTTGGGCACTATGGGAAGCAATGGAGCACCGCCGCGTCCGCATCGTTTGCGCTGAAGTGCGCCGCGTTGACGGCAGGTAAATCACTGTCTGGGGTCCACGCTGGGTTTCTCCTGGGCCTTCTCGGTGCCCTCTCCCGCCCCCGAAGCAACCGCGACGGCCCGCGCCCTCTCGGGGCGCTGTCGCGTCCGTTCAGGGCCCTCTAGAGCCCCACGCCACGGAGATAGCATCGCATAGAGGGCGCGGGTTGCACCACGTAGCGCGCACAGCCGAGATGATAAAATATGGCGCCGCTAAGCTCGCCAAAGCTGCGCGCCAGAATTCTTTGTCTGGGGCCCGCGCTGCGTTGGTAATGTTGTTTGCGTTGCGTTGCGCGCAGCTCGCCCCGCCCGTGCTTATTTTGGCCCAGGAGCGCCACCGCGAGGGCGCAGGGGCGCCGCGGCGATTTGCCATGGAGGCAAGGGGTCCTGGAGGAAGCGGGCCCTGGACCCGACCCCCCCCCGGACAAGATTTTCACCCCAAGTCGTTTCTCGACGGCCCCTGGGCCCATTGAGCGCCCCAGGGGGCCAAAATTATCCGAATGACGTTCAGGGCGCCCCTCTCCCAGGACCCCTTTCCATCATGCTGCGCAGTTGGCCCTGCGGGCAACGGGCCCCGGAGGGGACGGGTCCTGGGCCCCGGCCACCCCCCCGGACAATATTTGCATCGCGAGTAGTTGTCCGAGGGTCCTGGGAGGGGACGGGGGTGGTGGGCCGAAGCCGAACGCGTAAAAAAGTTCAGGGCCCGTTTCTCCCAGGACCCCTTTTCTTCTCCATGAAAAACGACTGACCACATTGCTGGCGATTGCTGGCGATTTACCCATCCGAATTTCTTGCAGAGCGATTGGTGCAAGAAACGGGTCCTGGAAGAAACGGGCCCTGGACCCCAGAGTGCCCCCTGGGGCCAGATTTTAATCCCGAGTCGTTTTTTCGACGGTCCCGGGGCTCGTTGAGCGCCCCCGGAGGCCGAAGACAACGCCAAACTGCCAGGACCAATTTCCTCTAGGACCCCTTTCCTTCCTGCTGAGCGATGGGGGGCGCTTCCCTGTTACCAGAAGATCCGACGATGTTTCGGGAGATATGCTGCCATCGCACGACGGCGCGAGCGCAGATTTCCTGCCATCACACGACGGCGGTGCGAGCGCAGATTTGCCGTCATCACACGACGGCGCGAGTGTAGATTTGCTACCTTCCGACACGGACGACGCCATGGACATCGACGACAGTGCCGGCAGTGCTCTTGCGGAGCGGACTATGCCACGCGACGCTATGGATTTTATGACCCATGTGCGCCCTCATCAGTGGGCCTTTGGCGCATTGCAGTGTCTGGGCGCTTTTGTGCCGCAGTATATTCTGAAACGGAGTTTACTGTTGAACTCGCCGTCTTTGACTATTCACTTCAGCGGCATTGGGACAGTGTAGTGGGCGGCGCAGTGTCTGCAGCGGGCGGCCGCCGGGGCCATTGGCTTCCCAGTGTCCTTTCAGGCGCTGAGTGCGTGCGAGGAGGACCGCGCCTGCCAGGGCGCGTTGCGGCAAGTGCTACCCCCAGGCGCTTGTTTGTATTCAGATATATCGGCCATCAGCCCGACCGCGGCTGAATTGCGTGCTCACTTGGAAGAAAGCGGCGACGATCTGGACTTTGATTCGGCGTGGGATCAGATTCGGTGCGCTGGCGCGCTTCCGAGGTGGAGATGCCAGGCGCATGGCGGGGCGCTGTGCCAAACAAGCCGCCCTGACCTGGACGTCTCTGGCTCGCCGTGTCAACCGTGGTCCCGGGCGGGGTCGGGCCGGGGGATGCGCTCGCATCTGACCGTGCTGTTCTTGTGCTGGGTGCTATGGGCCCGGACGCTGCGGCCCCGCGTCATTGTCCACGAGAACGTTATCGGGTTTGATCGGGCATTACTCAGTCGCCTTCTTGGGGATATGTACGATGTTTTTTTTTCCGGGCGCAGCCGTCGCACGTGGGTTTCCCAGTTGTCGAGCGGACGCGGGGCTATACTATTTTGCTGTTGCGCAGCGGCGTGGAGATTGTGGTGGACCCGTCCGCGTTGTACGAGCAGGTGCAGCGCGCGTTCGCCCTTCATGCCCCTCCTGCTTCCTTGGAGATGTGTTTCGTGGCCTCGGACGCCGCGTGCCTCATGGAAGAGAACCGTGTGCGTGCGCGCCGGGGGTTGCCTGTGCTGTTCGAGCGGTCCCTTGATTGGTCCTATGTGTAAGCTTTCGGCCCAGTCCGCCACCGCGCCTGGGTCACGCGCGTGGCGTCTTTTTCGCCCCCCCCCCCCGGGGGGGTGAGGGGGGGGGGCGCGTGTTCTGACCATGGGGGGGTCGCATGTCGGACCAGTTTTGATGCTTCTTCGGGATTGTTCGAGATTTCCACGGGCCGCCGCCTATACTCGGGCCTTCTTGGGGCTTCTTGGAGGCCGCTTGGGCCGTCCTGGAGCGATCCTGGGGCCTCAGGGCCCTGCTGGGCCGCTTGGGGCTTCTTAGGTTTTTCTGTCCGTTTTGGGGCCTTCCTCGGCGAGGGGGCCGCCCCAGAGGCCCATGTGGAACACTCCTGGGGCACTCAGTGGCGCCCGGCTGCCCCCGGGGAGCTGGGGGCCCGGGATTCGCCGCCATTGCTGACATGTGCACGCCCACTTCGTGCTACGGGCGCGTTGACGGATCTGCTTACTCCAGACCAGGCGCGGTTCTTGGATCGATATGGTGCTCGGTGGTTTGCGCGGTACGATTGCGCCGCAGACCTCTGCATTTTCGATTTGTCGCAAAACCCCGACGAGTCGTTGGGAAGGATTTCCGAGACCATCCCGACTTTGACCACGAAGTCATATCGATTGTGGGTTCTCCGTCTGCGCCGCTGGCTTCTACCGGTGGAGTTGGCTTGGGCGCGTGGGTACCCAGTGACGCCCGACGCCATTCGCGACGCCCGCGCTTGCTTGGCGAGGGGGCGGCGCCGGGAGTTCCTTCGATTGCACGCCTTGGCAATTGCATGCACATGGCCAATGTCGGCGCCGTGGCGGCAATCGTCCTCGCTTGCGTCGGGCGCGCATGAACTACATCTGATGTGCTACGCCTCGCAGCAGAACCGCGGCGCTGAGCTGCTCCGGCGGGGCGCGCCGATGGCCGCGCGCGACCGCTTGGGGCGCGCGCCGCTGCACTGGAGCTGCGCGAGGGGCGACTTCGACATCGCCCAGGCTTCGCCGACGCGTCAGGGTGACCCTTCGCCGGGGTGACCCTTTGGTGCTCGGCCTTCTGGCCCTCGAGGGCCCCCCCCTCGTCGCCGCGGCCGGACGCGGCTCGGAAAACGGGTTGGTTTGGAACCCGGGAGGGGTCCGGGGAGTCGAGGTCGAGGCAGAAGACCGTTCGCATCAAAAGGTCCCTTCCTGCCAAAGGTCACTCGTTGCGCCCCCCCGACAGGCTCTGGTGGAGGCGGCGGCCGACCCCCCCCCCCTGGCGGAGGCCGCGGCGCACCGCGGCGGCGAGACGCCGTTGGAGCTTGGGGCGCTGCAGGGCCACGTCGGCGCGTGGTGAGGTACCTTATCGAGGAAAGGGAGCCAAACGACAACATAAAGATACAACTCGGAGGTCCGCGCCGATTTCCTGGATCGGCGCTGGACCCCCCATCCCCGGGGGCGGCGAGGGACCGCCGGGGGGTCCAGCGCCGATCCAAGAATTCCGCGCGGACCTCCAAAAAGTTCATGCCTTGGTCGCGTCTCCCTTCCTCGATGGGTGTGGAGCGCGAAGTGCTGGAGCAGCCGTTGCCTTCCTCGATGGGCGTGGAGCGCGAGGTGCTCGAGCAGCCGCTGGGGGCAGCGTGCAGGCTGAGGTCGCCGAGCTACTGGGGCCGCCTGCTCCAGCAGGCGGAAGGCGGTCCGGCGAGCGAGGCATCGCGCGCCCCGGCGCCGAGGCGAGGGGCGGCATTCTGGCCGCTCGCCTCGCGCCGACTTTGCATTACCCTGGTCCTCCTTATGCTCGCGTGCACTATCCTTCTCACCAGTTTCCTGCGACTCTCTTTCCCTCCCCTCCTGGCCCGCTGGCCTTGACCATAGCCTTCTGGCGCTTGTCGAGCGCCTGCTTGTCGGTGCCCATGGTGGTCGAGATCTCTTTGCGCTTGCCCTGCGGGGGAGGGCGCAGCGCTCGAGCTTGCGCGTGGGCCCGAGCAGCGGTGCAGAGGGAAGGTGGGAGGAAGAAGTGGAGACATGCCACTCGCTCACTCACAGCAGCCACGTCGCACGGCACATCGGCGTAGCAGGGGGATGTGCGTGCCGCGCAGCACGGCAAGCAATCTGCATGTACACAGGGTTATGGCAACGGCCTTGGTGTGTAGCAAGTGGTTTCCATGCACAGTATAGTAGGAGGGGGCGATGCAGGGCGGGTGGGGAAAGGAACGTAAGAGCAATCGCAAGGCACGGCCTGCGTGTCAAACTCCTCGTCATCGTAGCGCTTGTACATCACGTCTCCGTGGTCGGGGTCGACCTGCCCCGATTTTCCAATGAGTGATCGTCGGCGCCGCCGACGCCCGTTATCCCCCCATCGTAGTCCAACTCGGAATGAATCGATCCATCTATGGACTCGGATCGGATCGATAACACTTGTGACGATGATGAGAGCATCTCCCCGCCCCTCCTTCACGCGAGTGCGTTTGAACTGCTCGCACGTGGCGATCTGTGCCAGGGTGCGCTGCTCGGCCCTGCGAGCGGAGTAGTTAGATCATAGTCGGAGGGGGGGCTGAATTGAGGGGAGGCGTCCATTCGAAATCAGCAGGAGATACTTTACCCTTCACGGGGGGGGGCTGTCGGCGAACGTGGGGCTCGCTGACTTAAGATGACAAGCTATGGGCATAACAACTGGGACCTCGAGGGGGGTGTGCGCGCCAAGCATCTGAAGCGCCGCTGGCACGGCCGAAGCAGCAACAGGACAAATGGAAACAGGACGAACGGAGTGCGACATCTCGAGTGCACCCCTCATCAGTTCTAGCTTCCCTTCCCCCTCCCCCCCGAAACAAACAGCGCATCCTCACGTTCATGTCGGAGGTGGGCGCGGAATTGCCCCACCCGAACATGCGCAACAAATCGTCCTTGGTGTACCAGCGCCCGCGGGTCCTCTGGCCCCCGTCGCTGTACATTGACTCCTTCTTCTCGGACTTCACCCAGTCGAAATCGCCTGGCATGCGGGGAGGAAGGGCACGTCATCGTCGGCCGTCACAACTCAATATTTCCCCTCATTCCTCTTACTTCCTCCTGCTTCCTATTCGCCCTACACCTCCTCCCTCCTACGTCCTACTCGCCCTACCCCTCCTTCCTCCTGCTTCCTCTTCCCTCAAATGTGTTTCTCCCTCCCGTGCTGTTTCCTCCTCTACTTCCTCATCTCTCATACTTGCCAGTCCATGTTATGTTGTGCACTGTTGTCCCAAGTCTGCCCTGTCGCGGCCTTCGGCCATCCATTTTTTCAACCATTCTTTTTTCTTCTCGCGGTTGAGACGCTTGAACTGTCTCTTCAACTCGGGCCGCGTCTTCTCCATGTGGTACCTCAGGGTACGATCGGGGCCATCGCGCCCGCGACCACCCCTCCAGAACCCAACGTGAGAAATCAGAAGGAACCAAGATGTCAAAACTGCGTGTCTGTGTGTGTCGTTCCCGTGGTTTACACACCCAAGGTGCCTCATCTTGGCCATCGCATTTTCATGAGACGACTTGTCCTTTCTCTTCTCTTTTGCTGCCGTGCTGGTGCGGTCCGTGGCCTTCAAAAAGGTCCGATCAGATCTTTGGGACGCACGCGTGCGTCCACGCATGCACGCACGTTCACACATGTGTGAACGTGTATATGCGTGGACGCACGCGTGCGTCCCAATTTAAAGATCTGATCGGACCTTTTTGTTCTTCTCCTTCTTGGGCGGCATCCGTCACCTGGGCCCCCGCCCCATCCAATGCACCGGGCGGATCTGAACAGGCAAGGACCGAATGTGCCTGCGACTTGGGGGTACGGGCCGCGTTGGCGGCTACTTTCAGGAGGGGTTCGGGGTGTGGGATGGGTGGGGTTTTACCAGAACGGCCGTCCGACCTTGGTCGCGGGTTCTGGGGGTCACGCATGGCGTGATGTATAGCTGTATACACTATACATGTACGCATATATTATTTATATATACACATACACACGTATAGATGTCTATATACATATATTCAGCCATGTATATTTATGCATGTATGTATGCATGTATGTATGTATGTATGTATGTATGTATGTGCACAGGTATGCATGTATGTATGTATGTATGTATGTATGTATGTATGTATATATGTATATATGTATGTATGTATGTAGGTAGGTATGTATGTATGGATGTATGTATGTATGCATGTATGTATGTATGTACGCAGGTATGCATGTATGTATGTATGTATGTATGTATGTATGTATGTATGTATGTATATATGTATCTATGTATGTAGCTATGTATGTAGGTATGTATGTATGCATGCATGTATGTATGTATGTATGTATGTATACGTGTATGTATGAACACTATATGTGTACGTACAATACGCACATTGCCTTTGCATGTCTGCACGCCCATATATGCGCACACGTGCACGCACACTCGGGTATGCGCACGCGTAGTCGCCCAAGTGTACTTGCGCGCGCGTCCGTCAAATCAAGTATGCACATGCACTCGCGCGCAGGCTACGCGCGGGCACGCACGCGGCGCGCGCGCGGGGGGCGGGCGGGGGGGGGGGGGCAGCTCCGACAGGCGACAGGACCGCTCGGGGCACGCCTGGCGCAAGCGCGCGAACTGCTCCAAGCGGGGGCATTCCCCCCCCCTCCAAGCGGGGGCATTCCCCCCCCCTCCCCCTGCGCGCCGCCTTTTTTTTTTTTTTTTCTCACACGCAAACAACACAACATGGCAAGGGCGGCGTCGGGGTGCACTTAAGTGCACGCGGATGTGGAACAATGCAAACACGTGAGAACACATGAAAACACATGAAAACACATGAAAACACATGAAACCACATGAAACCACAGGAACATACAAACACATGACAACACAGGAAAACACAGGAAAACACATGAAAACACATGACAACATATTAAAACACATGACAACACATGAAAACACATGACAACACATGAAAACACATGACAACACATGAAAACACATGACAACACATGAAAACACATGACAACACATGAAAACACATGAAAACACTTGAAAACACAGGAACATGCAAACACATGAAAACACATGAAAACACATGAAAACACATGACAACACATGACAACACATGAAAACACATGAAAACACATGACAACACATGAAAACACATGAAAACACGTGAAAACACATGACAACACATGAAAACACACGAAAACACATGAAAACACAGGAACATGCAAACACATGAAAACACATGAAAACACTTGAAAACACATGACAACACATGAAAACACATGACAACACATGAAAACACATGACAACACATGAAAACACATGACAACACATGAAAACACATGAAAACACATGACAACACATGAAAAAAACACATGACAACACATGACAACACATGAAAACACATGAAAACACATGAGAACACATGAGAACACATGAAAACACATGAAAACACAGGAACATACAAACACGTGAAAACACATGACAACACATGAAAACACATGAAAACACATGACAACACATGAAAACACATGGCAACACATGAAAACCCATGACAACACATGAAAACACATGAAAACACATGAAAACACATGACAACACATGAAAACACGTGAAAACACATGAAAACACAGGAACATGCGAACACATGAAAACAAATGAAAACACGTGAAAACACATGAAAACACATGACAACACATGAAAACACATGACAACACATGAAAACACATGACAACACATGAAACCACATGACAACACATGACAACACATGAAAACACATGACAACACATGAAAACACAGGAACATCGGAACACGTGAAAACACATGAAAACACATGAAAGCACATGACAACACATGAAAACACATGAACACACAGGAACATCGAAACACATGAAAACACATGACAACACATGATAACACATGAAAACACATGACAACGCGTGAGACATCAGAAACAAATCTGAACGTTGAAACGCATGGAACCAACATGATTCGCATGAGAACAGCAACAAAAAAACACGGCAACGCTTGCGCGATCGTGGAGGCGGCCACGCGCAGCGCGCGTCAGGTGAGGCACGGCGAAGTGGCCTCGGGGGTCGGGGGGCGCGTCGCGGGGCACGCGCAGCTGCGTGGGCGCATGATTGGAGTTGCGCGTGCAGCTCCAACGATGCGCCACTGCAGCTGCGCGCACCGCCGCCATGCGCCCACGCGACCCTAGTGGCCACCCCGCGCAGCCCCCCCAACGCGAATTGCGTTCGGCCGCCTCCACAACCCGCAGCCGTTCGACCGCCTGCGTGGGTGTTGTACTGCGTAGCCGCTGGAGATCACCACGTCGTTGCGCTGTCGCCGAAGATCTTCGCCAGCACCTTGGCTACGGGCGGGGGCCACATGCACGCGCCCCCCCCCCCCCCCCCACATCCGAGCGTGTTCCCCCCCCGCGCGCGCCTCCCACGCCAACCTACCCCTAGTACACGTTTGAACGCTTAATGCTAGAGGGCTTGGTGTTCGAGGGGGGGCTAGCTGGGTTCGACGGGGGGTAGGGGGCGGGGGCGGGACTGGGTGGGCGGCGGCGCGTGCAGGGGCATTGGTGAGGGGGTTATTTGGGACGTCGGTGGGGGAGGGGCTGAGCAGACTTGACCCGCAACATGTACATCGTATACAATTTGTGCGCCGCGTACATGGGCAACGCGCGCGTGCCACGCACGCACGCATGTTGCAGCGCTGCGTCGACGCGATGTGCACGCAGGTGGTTGCAGATAGATGCGCGAACCCGCCAGAGCACGCACACACACATACCTATGTATACATACATATAAGCACACACCATGCTTATCCAAGTAAGCACAAGCATGCATATATACAACGTTACGCATACAACTACGTACACTTATACATATACATACGCACGTGCATGTTCATAAACATTGGCACCTGCACCTGCGTATCCATACCGCCTTATACGTACGTACATACGTACACACATGCATACGGACATACAAACATATGAATACGTTTATGTATTTAGTTCTTCATGTGTATATATATATAGATATACCTACATATGTTTTATATAGGTGTCACCCCGTTCACCAAAGAGGAGTCGCGCACTCCACGTGCGCGGAGCTGGGGTGGTGGTGGCACCGATCTGGCTCGCACAGTTGTGCGCTTGAGCAGCGCACGCCTGCGCAAAGTGCGGCGCGGGGGGGGCAGGGTCGGACGAGGGCGCGGAACATTGGATGAGGCAGACGGGTCTTGTTCGGAGGGCATCGGGAGGGGAGGGGCTATTGGAGTAGCCTGAACCACACCGAGGGCTCCGAATCGCTCACGGGGGTCAGTCGATACATCGACGCATGGGCGTCGTGGCGGGGGTTGGGGCGCCCAGGGGGTACGGCGTTGTCTCGATCTGGGATCTGCATGCTCCGTCTCATCCTCCTCTTCCTCCTCCTCCTCCTCCTCCTCCTCCTCCTCCAAACTCTGACACTAACCAAGCCTTGAAAAGGGACGCTGCGTCCCAGATCGATCCCCTGCCAGCCCCGCGGCCCAGGAAGTCCAGGTCATCCCCGAGCGCACGTACCCTGGACCCTCAACAGCAATCCAAATTTAACCCGTGCAGCGCCATTCCTCTCAATTGCCAGCCAAGCTCATGTACATATGTTTTGTCGTGAGTGACGTCGGCACTCGATCTGTCAAAAAGCAGCGGGGGCTCGGGCGATAATGGGCCCCCTCTCAAAGACGCCGCCGAAGTAGATCGACAGGCAGATGTTCAGCGAGACGCCCCTGCCCAGCATTCCCCCTCTGCTCTCGCTCGGGCTATCTTCCGACGCGCATCCACCCCTATATGGATCCGCGGGCTCTCCTTATTGCCCCAGGGGGTTCGCAAAACACACCCGCCCCCGTCAACCGAGGTCCCCAACCCAAACCCCAGACAGTCAGACAGGGATTTAACAACATCGCCCCTCACCCGATGTGTCCAAGGAGCTGCTCGACACAATGCTTTTCAAACACATGGAACGCTCGTTCGCCATGGATGCAGCCGTGTAGTTCTTCGTATGATGGTGTCTTCTCTCGATATAAACATATATATATGTATATATATGTATTGTGGTTTGTTGTGTAGATCGCTCTATCCATATGTCCCTCTCCCTCTGCGCGTCTGTCTTGTAAACGTGTAGTTGTGCATATGCCTATACATATATATGTATATATCGACATCTATGTACGCACACCTGTATGTATGTATGCATGTATATATGTACGTATGTATGTATGTCTGAATGTATATATGTATGCACGTATGTATGTATGTATGTATGTATACAGATCGCAACCCCTCTTTCTATATACATATGTATAGACACCTGTCAGCCCATGTCTCGATATATTATCTCTCTCACTTTCCCGCAGTCTCTCTCTCTCTCGCTCTCTCTCATCCGCTCCCGTGCTCGCTCGACGTGGTTCCATTCTCTCTTACCGCTCTTAAGCATCGCCCTCCCTCCCCCTCGCTCTCAAACTACAACATCTACCGAATCGAGTGGGGCACGCGCCTGCGTGCCCACGCCTTGCATGCATGGACTGTCCGATGTGTCGAGCTGCCATCCCCCCCTCAGGCATGCGAGCTACGCCCCCCGTCCGATCCTAATCGACCTCGAAGCACCGACTGAGTAAGATGTCGCGGCCTGTCATCTCCAGAAACTCGTTCCTCCTGCCGATGGCGTACTCCTTCTTGATGGTCTGGTCGTCGATGCACTTGGCGAGGACCATCTGTTAGATAGGGCGCATGCTATGTCGAGGCGAGCGCGCGCCGACCCGACATGGTGATCTAGGGGCGATGGGCGATGGCGCCAGCAACGGAAGAAGGACAACAGGAAGGGATACCAGGGAGCAGGAGGAATTGCGCAGGGGGCGGGAAGGAGGAGCAGGGCAGTGGGAGCTGTACCTCGTCATCCACCTCCCTCGGCATTTCCGTTCCCCCAATCCTCATGCATTTAGTTTTCATGTTTGCGTCCCCCTCCTACCTCAACGGTGGTGCGTAATGAAACAGAGGCGCCTGCGACAGTCTGTCGCTGTTCTGGCGACGGCAGTCGTCTGGGACCAGCCGCGTCTTGTCAGACACCTGGAGGAACTGCTTGTAGCTCGGCGTCAGCTTGTTGCCCTCGGCGTCCACGGTCACATACTCCAGTATGCTGTAGCCCTCGCTGTTCCTGCGCCTCGTCCTCAGATGGTACCTCACGTTGTCGTGCTCGACGTAGCCGTCCAGCAACCTGCTCGGGATCTCACCTCGGGGCCACATCACCTTCAGCGCTGCAGGCTCGGCGATGCCGAGCTCCTTGACCGTATCGATATCCTCCTCGCATGCTTTCTCCTCCTCCTCCTCCTCGCCTTCGTCGTTGGCAACGACCTCGGCTGCCTCGGGGCCAGGGTCCTCGACCACAGCCTCGGCTTCGCCTTCCTCAGCCTCGGCTTCGCCGCCCTCAGCGTCGGGGCACTCATCAGCATCGGCTTCGCCTTCCTCGGGTTCGGCCTCAACGGCATCGTCCACGGCCATGCCCTCGGGGTCGCCCGCCCACTCCTCCTCCTCTTCCTCCTCCTCCTCCCCTTCCTCCTTCTCCTCAACTGCGGCTTCCTGCGCAGCGTCTTCCACCTCTGGCGGCTCGGCCTCGGCGCTCGCCTTGCAGGCCATGCGCTGATGATGGTGGTGGTGATGGTGGTCATTGTGGCCATGATGATACCCCTGGTGATCATGATGACGCTGCTGCTGATGATATGGAGGCTGATGATGATGCTGCCGATTCTGGTTGTGAGATGTTGGTGCGTATGATGTTGATGATGGTGATGATCATGACGCTGATGATGTTGCGGCTGTTGCTGCTGCTGCTGCTGATGATGATGATGATGATGATGATGATGTTGATGATAGTTAGGTTGACGGTGATGCTGGTGGCGGCGAAGATGTGGTTGGTGATTATGCTGGTGATAGTGATGGTGATGGTGATGGTGATGGTGATGGTGATGGTGATGTTGCTGATGATGCTGTTGATGGTGCTGATGCTGATGACGTTAGGGATGGTGACGATGGTGATCGATATGATGATGGCGACGGACACGACTGCGATGATAGCCAAGACAACGAGATGATGATGGGAACGGCAAGGGCAATATGAGGCGACGGACGTTGATGAAGAGGGGGGGCGTTGGGGTGGGGTCTTCAACGCGTGAGCGTTGGGCCCAGCAGGCCGAGTGCTAAGAGACGAAGAGGCGAGGCGTGACATTTCACCGACTCACATTGCTATGCACTGCCCCACCCCCGATGAGAAGGATACCCCGAATTTCGAACACGTGCAGCATCGATCTAATGGTTAGGGCATGTTGCATCGAGACATTTCAGGGAGCATACCAGTTCGCCTGCTTCTTCGCAGGCCTCTTCGCGATCCCAGCTGGCCGCTTCATCGGCACCACGGCCGCTGGGCTGGTCGCCTTCGGGGTCGCCTTCGGGGTAGTCTTCGGGGTCGAGCCCGCCTTCGGGGCAAGCTTAGTCGGCGCCTCCTCGAAAGCCTCGGCAGAGGACGGGTGACCTTTCAGTGGTTTCGTGGTCGACTTCGGGGCAGCGGCAGTGAGGGCACCCATCGGTACTGGAGTGGCGATGTTGTTGCGCTTCTCATTGTCGTGTTTTTCTTTTCTTTTTTCATTTGCTTCGCCGTCTTCTCCTTTTTCATCATGCTTTGCAAGAGGGGGTGTGCTGATTTCTGAACCGCGACCCTCGTCTGAGAAGCGCCTGGACACGAAGCCATCCCCGATGCCGCCGCCGCTGAGCTTGACGTCGCGTTGGCGAGATCCTCCGCTTCCCTCGGAAGCCAATCGGGGGAGATGGGGGACCGACATGGTGAACGTGTGTCCGAAGCTACGCGCATTGCAACCTGCCTCCCGCGACCTCCAACCCTCTACCCGCCTCTCACGACATACAGTTTATATATTCACACATATATGTGTATGTTTGTGTATATACAGATGCATGCATACACATGGATACCCATAGACATGTATCCATATATTGATATAGATGTATAGGTTAATACGTATATGTGTATATATATATATATATGCACACATGTGTGCGCGTATTGGTACATGCACACCCTCCTCCATCCACCCCATGCCTTCCCAGGCCCTCCGACTTTGCCCATCCTCCCCCCATCCTGCCCTGTGCTGCCCATTGTTCCTTTCACCCTCTCCCTGCGACTCCTCTGCCCCTCCCCTCCTCGAGGTCGCTGTCGTCCTCGAGCATGGCCTTGTAGATCTCAGCCTTCTGGTTCTCGCAGATGTCCTCGTCGTCGTCGTCGATGGTCTTGGAGTCGGGCTCGCCGTCCTGTTGGGGGGGGGCGGGGCCAAGGCTAATATATCGGGGCGCCTAGGTGTAGGCTGCTTGATGAACGAATCGGGAAACGATGCTACACCGCAGAAATATGGCACGATAAACAGCATATGCGAAAACAAGTTGAGGCCGATGTTTGCACGAGTGTAGGACGTAACAGCCAACATGACGTAGCAATCAACAGGCACCTCTGATTGTGAAGTGGATTCCACTACGATGGGGGTCCGACGAGGACAATCAAAGATGCCACCGCGCAGCCGCGCACGAACAGGAATGCATGTGAACACCCTCCTACATGACGCTCCTCATCCTCATCCTCGTCCTCCTGATTCCTGTCAAGGGCCCCCTCGTCATGGTCACTCCTATCAGAACCACCTCCCCTAGCTGGCATCCCTCCCTGCTTCGGTCCTGGGTCTCCTCGTCTGCCTTCGAGCGCAGCGGCGACTGGAGGTAGCCGTTCAGCTTCTGCCAGTGGGTGAAGATCTTCCGAGCAGCCCGCGATTGTAAGTACCTTCGGGTGCGGAGGCTCCGATATGGGTCGTCCGGAGCGAAACGGGAAAACATCCCGCCTACATGGGTGCGTGTACGTCTGTATACACGTGCATGCACACATGTAGGCGGTCTGTTTTCCCGTCGGCCCTTCTCCACCGTCTCTGATGTCACCAGGTCCACTTAGTGAACAGACATGTTCATGCTCATGCTTCTCTGAGGTCTCCTCCCCCGCCCGACCCCGGAAATTCAACCTTCACATCCTTCATGCCCCGACCCGCCCTCGACAGCATGAACCCGCACCGTCTGCATCCTCATCCTCATCCTCAGCCTGACCCCCAGGGTACCGATGTCCATCCATCTTCACCTTCGGGCCTCTCTTCTGGCCGACACTGGCGGGGTCCTTCTCCATCATCTTCTTGGCGATGTGCTCCTTCACCCGATCCTCGAACGCGGTGGTCCAAGCCTCCTGGAGGGAAACCGATGGGTAAATGCTCACATAACGCATCCCTAAACAAACACACATGTGTATACATGTACAACTGCATTATATATACACACATATATATATATGTATAAGTATGGACGAATACACCGACGCGCTTGATATGGATACCTACCAGAAAGAAACGGATATCGAGACGGAGCATAACCATGCTCATAGACTACATCTTCTCGCTTACAAAGATATAAGAACAGGCAGATGCACCCGCACCAGGGAGTGATGAGTGGGGATGCGGTGAGAGGGGGCGCCTCTCTCACTCTCACTCTCACTCTCACTCTCTCTTTCTCTGTCTCTCCCCCTAGTCTCTCTGTCTCTGTCTCTCTCCCTCTCTCTCGCTCTCTCTCCCTCTCTCTCTCTCTCTCTGCGCGTGTCTCTCTCTCTCTCTCTCTCTGTCACTCGCGAGAGGAATCGGGGGAAGCATGAACTTCAACTATATTGGGAATAAGCGCCAAGCGCTGGCAGACTGTTCCAGGTTGGGTCGGAGCGGTAGCGTGAGAGATCTGAGAGAGACACGCGCAGCAATCTCTCTCTCCCACTCTCTCTCTCTCTTACTCTCTGTTGGGCTCCTCTCTCTCTCTCTCTCTCTTTCTCTCCCCCCGCCAACCACATAACAACGCAACATTGGCATAGATTGCAGCTTCACCTCCCTCCGCCCCCCCTTTACCTGACTCTCTCTACTTCTCTTCTCCCTCTCTTGTGCACGTCCGCGCCTCCATGCACGTCTGGCTGAACCTCCTGCCTTCGCCGATCTCGTGGAGCTGCCTGCGCGGGGTGTCCCAGGCCTTCGCGGATGAGGGAGGCGGACATCGAGGAGGTAGGGCACGGCTCGACATGCGTGGGGAGGGAATTGGAGATGGATTGATTGGAGGGTGATGGCGAGTAAGATCGAGTCTGCTCTACCCCCGCTATCCCCCTATCCTCTGATGATTATACGTTCGCGATCCCCTGACATACCCCTCCTGGCTATACTTGCAAGGCGGCGCCGCGCCTTCAAGTGCTCCTTGTTGGGCCTCGATGCCCACTCCAGGGGGTAGCTCGAGAAGTCGGGGGCGGAGTCGCAGCCTCTCAGCATGGGGGGATGCCACGCAAAGAGTATACGAGGCTCGAGGAGGAGGAGGAGGCGGAGGAGGACGGAATGGGACAAGAAACTGGGGAGGAGAAACATCGGACAGAGGGGAGAAGGCGGAGCGAGGAAGGGTTAACGGCGCGGCAGCTGGAGCATCGTCAGCGCCATGACCACCATCATCATCAGCAGCATCTTCATTGTGTGTAGTATCACCGCCTTCATCCGCGTCCTCATATTAATCATCATCGGCATCATCAGCATCAACATCATCACCATCTTCATCACTATCACCATCGTCATCATCAACATCATAATCATCGTACTTTTCCTCACTATCATCACCATCACCATTACCGTCGCCACTACCATCATCACCATCATCATAATACCCAGCATCATAATCATCATCATCATCGCCGTTTTCATCGTCATGTCGCCGTCATCGTGATCACCATCATTATCAGCATCAGCATCATCAACATCCTCATCATCATCACCATCATCATCAATCATCCTCATCATCATCATTATCATCATCCGCATCATCATCGCCATCATTATCACCATCCTAATCCTCATCGCCACCACCATCGTCATCACCATCACCATCACCATCAACATCGTAATCATCACAATCTCATGGATGCAAGGAGGCGCCCCGCCTAGATACCAGCACCCGCCGACAACCGGCGTCATCAAGGCGATGGCCAGGAGGTCTGGCGCGGCTGTGGCCGTCTTGCGCCGACCTCCTGTGCCCGCCATCGCCTGGGGGTCGGCATCCCCTGGCCTCCTTCCGACCTGGCCTCATCCTCTTCTGAATCATGTCCGTATGTGTAAAGGTGCGCCCACACACATATGCATATATACACATATTTGCATATGCACATGTGTATGTATGTGTGTAGTACACACATACATACATACATACATACATACATACATACATACATAAACATACATACATACATACATACATACATACATGTGCACGCACACGCACGTACGAACACCTGTACAGCGTACACCGATTCAGGGAGGTCTACATAAATACTGCGCTAGTCCATACCATACACCACCATACTTGAGTCACGACACCGTGAGATATGTTGTATGCATATGTGTAGAATTCTGTGTCTACGTGTACAACGACAGAGTGTGATAGACATCGAGAGAGAGAGGGAGAGACACACACGAGAGAGAGAGAGTGTAATACAAATAACAAACGAACGGTGGCACGCGCCGCCTTCAGGCCCTGCGCCCCTCCCCCGCGCGCGGGGGAGCCAGCCCTCAACCGAAATGGCTCGATGCAGCGGCGTGAGAGAGCTGCAAGCTAGCTGGAGGGCAGCGGGGAAGGAAAAGGGCTGAAAAGGGAGCACGTGATCCGTGTGTGTGTGTGTGTGTGTGCGTGTGTGTGCGTGCGTGCGTGCGTGCGTGCGTGCGTGCGCGCGTGCGTGCGTGCGTGCGTGCTTGCGTGTGTGTGTGTGTGTGTGTGTATGTGTGTGTGCGTGTGTGTGCGTGGGGGGGGGGGGGGTCCATTCCACAGAATCGATTCATAACACCACAGAATCGGTTCATAACACCACATAATCGATTCATAGCACCACAGAACCGATTCATAACACCACAGAATCGATTCATAACACCACAGAATCGATTCATAAATTGTTAGTTCCACAGAATCGACTCATAAATTGCTAATTCCCCCAAAGCCATTCAATTAATTAGAACTCATGCAAACAGAAGCTTGAGAAATACTCATGCACGAGGATATGTGGGGAGTTGGGGCCAGGGAGTTGAGGCCGGAGAATTGGGGCCGGAGAGTTGGGGCCAGAGAGCGGGGGCCAGAGAGTTGGGGCCAGGGAGTTGGGACCAGGAGTTGGGACCGGAGAGTTGGGGCCAGAGAGTTGGGGCCAGGGAGTTGTGTTCCAGGGATTTGGGGCCCACCGAATTGGGACCAGATGGACCAGGAAGTTGGGGCCAGAGAGTTGGGACCAGGGAGTTGGGACCGGAGAGTTGGGACCAGAGAGTTGGGGCCACGGTGTTGGGACCAGAGAGGCGGGGCCAGAGACTGGGAGTTGGGGCCGGAGAATTGGGGCCAGAGAGTCGGGACCAGAGAGTTGGGGCCACGGGTTGGTCCCAGAGAGTTGGGGCCAGGGAGGCGGGGCCGAAGAGTTGGGGCCAGGTGTTGGGGCCATCTGACCGTGCACGTGCAAACCCGTTCTTTTGCAAGTGCACGGTGCATGCGCTTGCGCATCGGACCCGCTCTCTCTCTCTCTCTCTCTCTCTCTCGCTTTCTATCTCGCTCTCTCAGAGTTGGGGCCGGAGAGTGAGTTGGGGCCAGGTGTTGGGGCCAGAGAGCTGGGGCCAAAGAATTGGGGCCAGGGATTGGGACCAGGAGTTGGGGCCGGAGAGTTGGCGCCAGAGAGTTGGGGCCAGAGAGTTGGGGCCAGGGAGTTCGGGCCGGGGAGTTGGGGCCAGGAGTTGGGGCCGGAGAGTTAGGGCCAGAGAGTTGGGACCAGAGAGTTGGCACCAGGGAGTTGGGGCCAGGAGTTGGGGCCGGCGAGTTGGGGCCAGAGAGTTGGGGCCGGCGAGTTGCAGAAGGAAGCTGCGCATCGCAAGCAATAAGAATTGCGCGTGCTCTGGGACATCGGGCGCCCTCTGCCCGAGGAGCCGCTCCAGCCTGCGGCGCAATGCAAAGCGAGGCTTCGGGAGCGGCGCCCACTGGTCGCCGAGCAGAAGCGCGAAGCGCCCATGCGAGGTCAAGTGACAGCGTGCGTCAGCGAAGATCCCCACGAGGAAGCACGTGCGCGACTCGCGGGGCCTCTGCGGCGAGCTAACTGTCGAGGCGAACGGCATTAAGGCTCAGATGATCGAGCGCATTGTGGCCAACCGCAGAGGCAGCCGCGCCAGCCGAGCCGCGTCCGAGCCACTGGCAAGCGGCAGCGCGAATGGCGAAGCGCCGGCGGCGAGGCCCATGGGTTCACAAGGCCGCGGCTCGCAAGAGGGTCACCAAGGTTGGGCCATAGCCAGGGCCACAAGGCAACGGGTCACAAGGTCGAGGGTCACAAGGCTGAGGTTCATAAGATCGAGGGTCGCAAGGCCGAGGCGGCCCGAGGCTCATAAGGCTGAGAGTCACAAGCTTGAGGGTCGCAACGCCGAGGTCATCAGGTCGGAGGTCGCAAGGTCGGAGCCACAAGGTCAATGGTCACGCAAGGCGGAGGCTCACAAGGCCGAGGGTCACCATGGCTGGGGCATAGCGAGGGTCACAAGGCCGAGGGCCACAAGGCCGAGAGCATCCAGGCCGAGGGTCACCGAGGCTGGGGCATGGCCAGGGTCACAAGGCCGAGGGTCACAAGGCCGCGGGTCACAAGGCCGAGGGTCGCAAGGCCGTGGGTCCAAAGGCCGAGGGTCACAAGGCCGAGGGTCACGCAGCCGCGGGCCACAAGGCCGAGGGCCACAAGGCTGAGCCCAACAAGGTCGAAGGTCACAAGGCCCAGGCTCACAGGGCCGAGGGTTATAAGGCCGAGGGTCGCAAGGCCGAGGGTGACATGGCCGAGGCTCACAAGGCCGAGGGTCACAGGCCCGGGCTCACAGGGTCAAGGCTCAATGCCGAGTGTCGCAAGGCAGAGGGTCGCCAGGCCCACAGGCTCATAAGGCCAAGGCTCACAGCGCCGAGGGCCACGAGGCCGAGGCTCATGGGGTCGAGGGCCACAAGGTCGAGGATGACAAGGCCGAGGCTCACAAGGCTAAGGCTCGCGCGACCGAGGGTCACATGGCCGAGGCTCATAAGGTCGCGGGCCACGAGGTCGAGGATGATAAGGCCGAGGCTCCGAAGGTCGAGGGTCACCAAGGCAGGGGCATCGCCAGGGTCACAAGGCCGAGGGTCGCAAGACCGAGGCTCACAGGGGCGAGGCAAACCCAATGGGACAATGTCCCAGGCCGAGGCCTGGGCACGCGTAGTTTGCCTTTCCTGACCCCCGGCCTTGTTGGTCTCCCGCGGGGGGTGTTCATGGCTCTTGTGACCTTCGGCCTTGTGGCCTGTGGCCTTATGGTCCTTGTGGCCTTGTGACCCCCGGCCCGTTGGCCTCGTGAGCTTTGAGAATGCGCTGTTTGCCGGAGGTCTTGTGACCATGTAACCTCGGGTAGCCTTGTGACCTTGCGCCCTTGTGGCCTTGTGACCTTTGGGAATGCATTGTTTGCCTGTGGTCTTGTGGCCTTGTGACCTTCCGGCCTTGTGGCCTTGTGACAATGCACCCTCGGGTCTTGGGACCGGCGGCCTGGCGCGCATAGTTTGCCCTTCCTCCTTCTCCCCTTCCATCCCCCCCTCATCCCCTCCCTCATTCCCCCCCCCCATGTACTCCCTCAGCCCCTCCCGCGTTTCCTCTCTCAGTGCCTTCCGCTTTCCCTCTCTCGCACCCCCCCCCTATTCCATCCCTCCTTCCCTCCCTCATTCCCTCCCCCAGGTCTCCCCCCATTCCGTCCTGGATGCCCTCCCTCGCTTCCTCCTTCCCCCTCTCTCTCCCTCCCTCCCTGCCTAGCTCATCCCCCCCTCCTCATAATTACCCAACATGATTACTTCACTTCCCCCCCTCCCCTCAGGCTAGTCAAAAAATCCCGGGCACTCCGCATATTTTTCGCCGCGCACACCATGCGCGAATTTGACGCTTCCCTTGTTTTTGGCGAGGTGACCAGCACCCAGAGCGAGCCGTCGAAGAGGCCGAAGCGCCTCGGAAGCAACGCATAGTTGTTCGCCATGGCGCCACTTGATTTTAGCGTCCTCGGGCCTCGTTGGGCGCCCCTCTGGTCATCTCTCGGGGGTTTACTGGGATCCCCTCGCGCGCCCAGCGGTGCGTCCAGGGCAGGACCTCGAGGCAGGCCCGGCCGCGACGTCGAGGAGGGGCCTGGGGGCCCCCATGAACAGAAGTGCGTCTTGATGGGCCTTTCCGGGGCCCCGTCCCGAGATTCTCGACCCCTTCCCAGGGCTCTCGGCCCCCCAGGCCTCATTGCCACTTTCATCATACATCCCCACTTTTCCTTCCTCAATCCACCTCATTATCACGTGGTGCACCTGTCCACGAATGCAAGCCACCCTCCCGTGCCCCTGCGACAGACACCCCCCCTCCCGTGCCCCTCCGCCAGCCACCGTCGACCTTGGTGCATTTGTATAGTATTGCATTGGGTCCCGCACGGAAGAGGGGGATATAGCAGGAGAAGCCCATCGGGGTATCAGTACCTCTTGCATCATCTACCCCCACTTCTCCCTCCTCACTCCTCCGCATTATCACCTTCCTCATGTCCATGTTTTGCGTCGCATCCGTACTGGGTGAGGGGTGCGCCCAGTCAGCTCACTACACTTTCATTTACGGTGCCCTTGCGCCCATTCTGTCTGGGAGTTCTCGTTCGCATGCCCGGCGATCCGAGTCGCATTTCTTTCTTGTCTGGCGAACAGGCGGTCTTCAGTTGGGCTTCTGAGGATTTTCAGCGCCAGTTAGCGAGGGAGCGCCTGGGCACACCGGCAGAGGGCATCAGCTCTATGGAGGTCGTGAACCTCCGCTCGATGGCGCGGCCAGGGAAGCGTCACTTTGGCCGGGGCTTCGTCCAGAGTAATTGCCCAGCTGATCAGTTGGGCAGGTGGTCCGGTAGCAATGCTGAAGAGGGGCGAGCGATTCAGCTGAAAACGCGCAGGCTTGCAGGCTGAAAACGCACGGGCTTGCAGGCCTTGTTCCCTCCTTCCCCCTCTCTCCCCCCCCCCCCCTGCCTAG